GACCTAGATACCGCTTGATTGAATCAAGATATTCATTGTTTAGTTGTTATTATACATTATTTTTGAGAAATAATAGTACTACTTTTTTTATATATGATTTAGGAAAAGTAAATCCCCCGGTTTTATTCGAATAGTGGCATAAAACCAACACCTTCTAGAAAAAGAAGGCCTCAGCTTGGATCAATTTAGTCGTCCGACGAGACTAACATGAACTGCACCGTGGAGGCAAATAAGAAAGATGTCACTTCGTGCATGCTACTGCACTGCGCAGAGGGGGAAATGCGAAAGATGTCATTCCGCTTGGACTACTAAAGGATCAAATTTCTTGTTAATGGTAACCCGTGCTGAGGCCCTCTTTCTTCTAGGAGGTATTGATAAAACTATATTCTCATATTAGCACTTTGGGGAAATGGGAATTAATAAAATTTCAGTGAAAAAGTATCACATAATTCTGTTTTATATGATAATTTAAGAAAATTACGTGTGCAATTTCCATGTAATGTGATCAACGTCTTACTCTAGGGATTGATGAAATAAAGGAACAATTGTTCTGGGCTACTGGATAGTGATAAGTGATAAATAAAATCTTTCTTTATTGATGTTTTACAAAAGAAAAAAAATAAATTATATATATATNATATTTTTAAATTTACAAATTCTGATGTTAAGGTTTTCTGTGCAAAAACCGTAAAACCTTTATTTAATTTTGTATGTAGTTATCTTCTTCCTTTGTTTCGCTGCAGCTTTCATTGGCCCAGCATAGACATATATCAAGAGAAGGGTTCTCAGACTGGGTATATCTAACCACAAGCAGAGGCTATCAAAACAAAAAAAGACATTGCGACTTATCGAACAAAATCCTTATTGTTTGCTAGGGTATGACTCTTTCTAAGTGTAAAATAAGCTGGCATAAAAATAATTTTTTAAACTGTAATGAACAATAAATAAGGATAACTTAAAAACAAGAGAACATTACAGAATTGTCATAGTAAAATAAACTTATCTACTCAGAATTTTTTGGTGTTCCATGGAGCGTGAAAACACGGTATATTTTACGGCATTCTAGTAGTTTTGTGCATACCTTTTGTCTTAGCTTTTTCATTTACTTACATAATAACTTGCTTCGTACTATAATTTGTTTACGTTTTTCTATTATCAACTTTTTATTGAAATATATTACCAAGTTATTCGTGCCTGTAATATGAAGCTTTCATCTCCATAATAATAGGAATTTCAAGTTATTATGACTTTAATTAGCGATCGTTTAAATAAATGGATAGCTTGTCAAACCTACTGCTTGTAAAAAGATAAGTTACATGCAGAGTATATTCCGTATCTTAACTTTGGGTGTGACATTTTTACAAAAGCAAGCGACTCACTCCTAACAAGGATAACAACAATCATCCTCCATCCTACAACCAAAATAGATATTAATTGATTTTTGATTTCTTTGGATTCAATGGAAGGTCGAAAGTTATTCACGCAGACGTCTTTGAAAACAAAATATTTTGGCTGTCTCAAAGCCGATGTTATTTTTATAGCCTATTTCGTTTGTTACGTTTGATTTCATTGCCGTAACAAACATTTATTTATTACAGAATGGTACTAATTATTGCTCGCGTTTAATCTATTTCATGTCAGAAGTGTTTAAATGTTTTAAGAACAATTAAACTCTATTAATGTTTTTTTTTGGTCTAATAATCTTTCATTAGATGCAATTTATTTTCTTTTTATTTATTTATCATACATGTAACTTGTACGTACGTAAGGTTGAGTGATAATGAAATAATTTTTTAGTTTTTTTTTTCCTTCAAAGCTTTTGCAATTACAGCTGAAAATATTTAGATACCAATAAAAGCGAAAATGCAGTAGTAAAATTTCAGTTCTAAAACTTTTAAAAATAGCTAGTTTTATTAATTTAGCTCAGTTTATTAATAACACTAAAGTAATTTTGACAATGAATCAAAATTTTCAATAAACGTTATTTACCTAAATATTAAAAAAAAGGAAGAACCCAAATTAAATAAACCTAAGAAACTGAAGCAGAAAAGATATGCAAAATTATAAATTAGTTGGCTTACAAAATATGAAGAAGGTATTGAAAATCAGCAAGACGTTTTAAAGTAATTTTCATGCCTGTTAGCAAAATTTAAGTTATTTAAAGATTTTATCAATTTTGAAACTAGCTGAAATTTTTACAACGTATCTTAACAGTGTGACTTTGGTTACATCGGACTATCTAGATGAGCTTTAAAATTTAGATAAATGAAACAAAATAGGAATATCCATTATTAAGAGCGCAATAAATCATTAATTGCTGCATATTGTTGGAATCTCCAGTGTAAGTTCAATTTCGACAGAGCCAAAATTATTTCTACCTCTGTTACAGCAACTCATCTTGATGCCCAGAAATCTATTGTTTCATTCGTATGAACACTGATTTCCTTGTCAATAACATACGTTCCTCACCAACTCTCCATAGCTTCGAGAAATGCATTTTGCGCTGATTTGCGTCTCTTTTCCACAACGGTTTTTCTAGTCTTGTTTTTCACCTCTATTTTTCACTTATATTTCCCATTTTTCGCTTTATGATTTAAATGACTTTTGTTTTCCTCCTTCACGTCTGGCGAGTTTCAATTATGGACGCCTGTTTTTGAGCACTTGAAACAGGTCGATTTTTATTACCATCTTCATATGTTAAAAGCAAATGAAGCTCTTAATCAAGTATAAGATTTAAGTAAAACATTAAGTGTAAGATTGTTTTAGAGCTGGTTTAAATTTTGTATTGAAAAGTAATTATATAACTCAAAATAAATTAATTTTGTTTTTATTAACAAGGCTTAATCACACGGGGAAAAAATTCTGGTATAATTACCATACTTTAGGGAAATAGTATTTCTGATAAAATAAAAGATTATAATTCTGGTTAATGAAATCAGTTTTGATATTTAAACCATTCATTTGGTAATTTTTCCGCTAAAATGTTAAAGGTTCACTGCAAATTATGGTTTTTCAAAATTTTAGCTCTTATTACCACACATTTAGTCAAAAATACAAAACTTATGAGCAAATTCAACCGAATAAATGGTTTTTATGTCCTTTTTTAAGGTATCATGATAAAATTATCAAATTTTACTGCATCTTATCACTTATAAAACCATGTTTCACCTCTAATTTTACGAAAATCAGTACAATAAAGCTTCTGTACAAATTAACGAGCTTTTTGATGTTACCATAGAGTCAGAAACACGGTAAATTTTTCCATATTCTGGTAGTTTTGACTATACTTTTTTTCTCAACGTACTTTTAGGAATTTTTGTTTTTAAATTTATGACTTTGTTTTATTTAGCTTAAAAAAAACTAAAAAAGAAAAACATTAATATTTTTTAAAATTACTTTTATTTATTTTTCGCATTTAACATAATGGTTTCGAGTTATATTTTAGTTTAAATGATTCTTCAGTCATCGACCAGAAATACGTCGCTCATTCATTAAAACTATTTCTTTAAAATTCTGTATTACTTCCATTTTTACCAATAGTATAACCATGCTTATTTTCATGTTTTGGTCTTTTTCTTTAGGTTTTTACTTCATTTTATGAGACAATGATATAATGAGATGCATATAAATCAAGAGGTTATAATAAGCAATTGTTATAAATTTAATGCAAAGATAAAAAAAAAATGAAATTTCTTCCATTTTTTTTAAATGTGATAAAAAAGAGATGAACAGGAGAAAAGAATTACCCTGAATAACTTTTGATCTAATGATCCGATCTTCACGTAGCAGAATTTAATCTTAGTGGTTTGAGGAGGTGACCTACAGTATGTAATTAGAGTAGATCATATTTTAAGTTACGAAATCGGACACAAAAACGTATTGTCTGTGAATAAACTTATCTGTTATTCAATGGATTTAGTTTACAAATCTCCACAATATGGAATACTCGCAATCTGGAAAAAAAGCCTCAGTTGGACATTTAATTATTAATTTAAATTTTTTACATATTTTGATATATCTCTAAGACTTCTCAATGGAATTGAAACATTTTGATCGCTATTATAAATTTTGTTTATCCAAAAGTTATTCAATGCAAAAAATAATTTTTAGTAAACACTTATTATTTTTCATAATTTTTTTTATTAATAACCAGAAAAACTTTGAGTTATAAGGCACACAAGTTTTTAAATCATTTTAAAGAATATAACTTTATGTGACAAAATACAAAATTTCAACTAAATTTCAGTAATAGTTCCTGAAAAAATGAGTTTTAAATGTTTGATTTCTTAAAAATTTGATTTCTCGGGAACTATTTGATTGATTTCATTAACATTTTGTATTTTTGACATATAAAATTACATTCTCTAAAATAATGTTAATTTTTTTAAACATATAACAGTGGGATTTGAAAATTATTTTTTTTAATGTTTCTAGTTTTATGATTATCTTTGACATACTTTATGAAGAGAACAATTTTGAAGTTTTATAATGGTCAGTTTTTGTATGATTACTAAAATGTATTATTGTGCTTTAATTTCTATCAATTTATAAAAATTGATTTTAATACATTTTATTTTCTCAGTTACATTGATTGTTTATGGAGTTTTTAATATTAATTTCAAAAGAAAGTGCAGTTTTACATATTAGCTTTGAGTCATTATGTTAGTAATGATAAAACACCTTATGTTTCTGAAATTAAATACTATTAAACTAATTGTATGATAATTTTTGCTCGCATATGATGAATAAAGAGTCATAGAAAAAATATTACATTAATTTTTACATTAATTTGAAAAAGGTGCAGTTTTGCTTATTAGCTTCGATATATTATGTTAATAACAAAAAAATATTATGTTAATAATTTTAATAATGTTTATTATGTTCATAACGAAAAATTGTGTTGCTGAAATTAAACAGCAATCAAACTAATTGTTTGATAATTGTTACTCGCATACTATAAATAAAGAGTCAATGATAAAATGCTCACTTTTATCAAAAGGTTAAATTAACATAGTTTATTAGACGTCAAAAGTACGCAATACAAGATGAAAACAGGAACGATCTTGATGAACAGTCACTAGAAGTATTTGGATCAAATTGGCACTGGTTAGAAAGACTTCTCACTTTTTAACAACTGGGTAACCATGGTATTCAATGTTGCTAAAGTAGGGTACTGGTCCGGCAAAAGATGCAATTGCTGGAGAAAAAAGTGGTCTCTGGACGGTGCTGATATATGGACTTAAAGCATATTTGGGGGCATATGCAATAGCACTTGGTGCCAATGCTGGAGCAGCATTAATTACATGAGAGGAATAAGAAAATTTAGAAGTTGGGGCAGCGTATGCTAAAGGAGCGGCAGCGATTGGAGCAGCAGCATAGGTCAGGGTAGAAGATTTAGCAACAGGAACGGCTGCCGGAGCAGGGAATGCGTATGGCAAGGGAGCTGCTGCAGCAACTGCTATTGGAGCAGCTATGCTTTTAGCAACAGGAACTGCTGCTGGAGCAGGGAATGCATATGTAGCTGGTCTTGTTTCGGTTATTGTGGTGTGGGTTTTAGCAACTGGAACTGCAGCTGGAGCTGGGAAGGCAGTGAAAACTGGCTTAGCTTCAGCAGTTGTAAAAGTTGTTGTGGAAGATTTAGCGACTGGAACTGCGGCTGGTGCTGGGAAAGCATATGCTAAAGGTGCTGGCTCAGCGAAAGCAACTGGTGCAGCGATTGTCTTAGCTACTGGTACAGCTGCTGGTGCGGGGAAGGCGTAAGCAGCTGGTTTAGTTTCAGTAACAGTGGTTGTGTGGGTTTTGGCAACAGGGACAGCAGCTGCTGCGGGAAAGGTATTGAAAAGTGGCCTAGCTTCAGTGGTGATTGTGGTGGTACTAGATTTTGTGAGAGGAGCTGCAATGGTTTTGGCAACAGGGACAGCGGCTACAGGTGGAAATACTGGAGCAGCAACGGCGACTTGTTCGGTTCTGAATGCAATCGGCTCGGCTGCTGGAATAGCCACAACTGGTGCTGGTGCTGGAATTGCTACTGCAGAGTGGACAACAACAGATTCAGCTTTGTTAAAGGTTGCATCAGCAGTATCTTTTGGTTCAACACCAGGTTCATTAGTCTTGATGTCAGCTTTGAATCCATCATCATTAGCAATGTAGTTAACGATGCGGATTCTACCATCAGCGTCTCTCAAGCCGTAAGAGCCGGCTACATTTCCGTGAGCATCACCAGCTTCTCGTCTGAAAGTTCCTCCAGAAGTGTGGTCTTCATTGTAGCCGAAGTTGTAATTCCCCAAATTCTAAAAATAATTGCAAATGAATTATAAATAAGAACTTAAATACAAGATTAAAATTGATTGATGCAATTGGAATTGATGTAAATAAAATGGTTCCTAATATTCTTGAAGAACCATGCAAAAATTGCTTTAATTTTTTGTAAAATAAATTGTTTTTATCAAATTTGAGTATTAATATTTATTTAGAAAATAAAGCACTTAACTTTATCGGATAGGGGTATTTGTTTTACTATAGTTTTTCTATAGTTTTTTTTCTACTGAAAAAAAGGTTCACAAGGATTTTTTTAATTAAGAATTTCGCACCATGAAATAAGTTTTGATTGTTATTTAGCAATTAAATTACACATGGAGGAAGACAATACATAGATTAAGAAGAAAAAAGTAACAAAATTAAACGAAAAAGCTGATTACATAGAAATACTTTGAGAAATTGTATCGAAATTACATTTTAAATAATAGGTTAGTTATTAAAGGCAAATTTATTTGATAAAAGTATAATAATTCTCTAGAACACTTTTAAAATATTGTTAGAAGGAAGAGGGAACAAGTCAGTTAAAAATCACCCCTTGTACTAAACAACCCTCTTAATTCAGATGTAAATGATTATAAAATGAACTTAAATTTATTTCCAGAAAATAAAAATAAACGTTTTTTTATAGCTCAGAACTCATCTCATTAGCAGAAAAATAACACAAACTATTAAGCATCATATAGTAATTATCTTCATAGATTTCAAAATAATAAATTGGAAACTAAATTTCTGAAAAGTATAAAACTATTACTATCATTACTTTTTTAAAACATTGGGAAGAACATTGTTAAAAAAATTAATTTTTATACATTACAAAATTTAATCTTATCCCCTCAAATTTTCTATAAAAATCTCGTTGTAAGGTCAATTAAATTTTTAAGAATTAGTGATTTTAAATTTTATTTAACAAATACATTTTTAACTAAACATATTAATATTATGATGAAACATTCGTTGAAAAACTTTAAAATCTAATCATTATATTAATTTGAATAATAATATTACTTCTGATAAAGTTCAAGTTTCCGTTAAAAAAAGAGATGACCTGATTAGAGCTCTCAAATTATGCATATTAAAAGTATAAAAAGGAATTTAGAAAAAAATCTAAACAGTAATTGTGAATAAAATTTTGTATATATCAATTTCTTATTAACATAAAATATATTCTGAAAATAATAATGTATGTTATTGCAGGAACAAAAGCAAAAGTGCCCACATTAAGAATATGGTGTACCAAAGACTATTGCAGTAACGTGAAAAATATTTTAAAATATTTTGAAAAGAGCTTTCTTTTTGTATGAGTAAACAGTTTTAAATCTAAATTTTTAACTTTATGAAGGCACTAATTTAAAAAAAAATAAGTAAAAATCAAATATGCATTGAAAATGATTTTATTTAATCTGAAAACTCAAATAATGCATTAAGTCAAACAAACTATTATGTTGAATATAAAAAAATTCAAAGTTTAGTATATATTTATGTATTTTCAACTTATTATTTAGTTTAATGTATTCAAGAGGGATTGTGAGCCCAACTCAAAAATCCTGAAAATTTCTTGAGTAAAATCATTTATGACGTACTTCAAAAATTGAAAGTTTTCTTAAATTTAAATCGTTGATATTTTCGAAACATGAAATTCTAAATGCAACATAATTTAAATGAATAATTATGTATAAGTTTACTTTTATCTCCAATCGCATTTATTATTCTACCAGAAAAAATATTTACAAATGAAAGAGATGCCAAGTATAAATTTTAGTTGTAATATTTAAATAAAATATTTAGTTAAATAAAATATACAAGAGTTTTTATACATAAAAGTGATCAATGATTTCTTGAAACTTCTGTACCTTGGATTTCAGAAAACTTCCGGATCGCGGTTCGCGAAAAATCCGGAATTTTGCGGAGCACAATCATCTCTGATGCATTACAATAAATTTTTTGAATTGGAAGTCTAAGTTAAACAATCTGTTGAAACTATCTAAATGCTGTTTATATTGTGTAATCTTAATTCATATTTGTGAGGAATAGTAGGTTCTAATTTTTTATAAAAGAAATATACGAATTTTATATATGTACTTACATCTTCACTTCTAAATTGTGCACTTGCTCCAGTTTCCCCAACAGCCACAGGAATGACTGTACATCGAACAACAGCAACCACAGCCAATAAAATAAGGACCTGAAATTTAATTAATATTTTACATTAAAATAAAGAAAACGCAAAATACAAATATGCAATCGCAAAGACAAACAATTTCTTAATATTGCAGCATATAAAACCTATTTGGGATTGCTAATGATGTTCGAATATTATTAATAAAGCAAACATTGTTTTTAACTTGAATATTAAATCAAAATAATATTTTAAAATTTTCACACACGGAGAAAAGCATTATGGTAAAATTACCGCACTATATTACTATATGATGATGACATTTCGGGTAAAAAAATCCAAATATGCATTACTTAAACCTTTCATTTGGTAATTTTTCGTTCATATGGTGAAGGTTTACCGGAAATTCTAGTTTTCGAAATTGTAGTTCTTATTACCACTGAATAGTAAAGTTAACTGAATGAATGGTTTTTATGCCATGCTCTAGGGTATCATGTTAAAATTGCTAAATTTAACCACATATGATTTATCAAAACCATAATTTATACTTAATTTTAACAAAATCATTACCAAAGCACCTCATATCAATAATTTATTCTTGGTCATGTTAAATAACAAAATCAAAATTACATTCTTATATAATATTATCGTTCTGAAATCAATTGCTTGCTTTCTAATATTCAAAAGCGTAAAATATTTTACTCATCTTTTCTTTAGAATTAAATTAAATGCTTAATGTTGTAAAATAACAACAAAATTCATATTACTGTTAAATAATAAGCATCAACAACAATAAACATTAATGCCATATTAAAATTTAAACACAATTTTCACTTTACTTTTTGAAATAAATAGTTTCAAATATATTCATTTTTAAAATAACCATATTATACATTTCGAATTAAAAGTTTCAATTCATATCAATTTTTAAAAGGTCTATATTATATACTTTCAGTTAAAACTCGTAGTTAATTTCAATTAATATCAGAGCTATCTTACCTTCATGTTAGTATTGATCAAATAAACTCAGTGAGAACTGATAATTGTCACCAGCGAATCACTCAATTTATACTAACTCGCTCACGTTTGTTACGTATTAGGCGACCATTGGTCAAGAACCAATCACGTGCAACAAACTTTCTTTTACCATCTTTTAGCAGCATCTTTTAATTCCTCNTTAAATCGTTGATATTTTCGAAACATGAAATTCTAAATGAATTACATGCAACATAATTTAAATGAATAATTATTTATAAGTTTACTTTTATCTCTAATCGCATTTATTACTCTACCAGAAAAATATTTACAAATGAAGGAGATGCCAAGTATACATTTTAATTGTAATATTTTTAAATAAAATATACAAGAGTTTTTATACATAAATGTGATCGATGATTTCTTGAAATTTCTGCTCCTTGGATTTCAGGAAACTTCCGAATCGCGATTCGCGAAAAATCCAGAAATCCGGAATTTTCCGGAGCACAATCATCTCTGATGTATTACAATTAATTTTTCGAATTGTAAGTAAAATTTAAAGACTATGTTGAAACAATCTCAATGCTGTTTATATTGTGTAATATTAATTCATATTTGTGAAGAATAGTAGGTTCTAATTTTTTATAGAAGAAAGATATGTATTTTATATATGTACTTACATCTTCACTTCTAAACTGTGCACTTGCTCCAGTTTCCCCAACAGCCACAGGAATGACTGTACATCTAACAGCAGCAACCACAGCCAATAAAATAAGGACCTGAAATTTAATTAATATTTTACATTAAAATAAAGAAAACACAAAATACAAATATGCAATCACAAAGACAAACAATTTCTTAAAATTTCAGTATATAAAACCTATTTGGTATTGCTAATGATGTCCGAATATTATTAATAAAAGGAAGCATTGTTTTTAACTTGAATATTAAATCAAAGTAATATTTTAAAATTTTCACACACGGAGAAAACCATTATGGTAAAATTACCGTACTATATGATGATGACATTTCTGGTAAAAAAATCAAAATATACATTATTTAAACTTTTCATTTGGTAATTTTTCGTTGATATGATGAAGGTTTACCGGAAATTCTAGCTTTCAAAATTGTAGTTCTTATTCCCACACATTTAGTAAAAAATACTTAACTGAATAGTAAAGTTAACCGAATGAATGGTTTTTATGCCATGCTCTAGGGTATCATGTTAAAATTGCTAAATTTTACAGCATAAGATTTATCAAAAGCATAATTTATTCTTAATTTTATAAAAATCATGACCAAAGGGCATCGGGAAAAAAAATTACAGTACGTTCAGGAGTTGCCATTGAGTCCATTTTGTGAAGAAAAAAAATTTGATTTTTTGCATTTAAAATGGTATTAAAGAAATTTTATAAAATATTTATTCTGGTTAATTTTAAAAAATAAAATCGAAATTCTGATTGTTGTAAAATAATATTCTTCTAAACTAAAGTTCTAGAAAAATTGTGTTACAATCTTCTCAGTCGAAAAAATATATATGTATTGCCACTAGATTGCATTAAAGGCATTTATTCTTGCTAATGTTAAATAACAAAATCAAAATTACATTCTTATATAATATTTTTGTTCTGAAATCAATTGCTTGCTTTCCACTATCAAAAGCGTAAAATATTGTACTCATCTTTTCTTTAGAATTAAATTAAATACTTAATGTTATAAAATAAAAACAAAATTCTTAGTACTGTTAAATAATAAGCATCAATAACAATAATACTTAATATCATATTAAAATTCAAACACAATTTTCACTTTTTGAAATAAGTAGTTTCAATTATATTAATTTTTTAAAGATTAATATTATACATTTCGAATTAAAGTTTGAATTCATATCAATTTTTAAAAGGTCTATATTATAGACTTTGAGTTAAAACTCGTAGTTAATTTCAATTAATATCAGAGCTATCTTACCTTCATGTTAGTATTGATCAAATAAACTCAGTGAGAACTGATAATTGTCACCAGAGAATCACTCAATTTATACTAACTCGCTCACGTTTGTTACGTATTAGGCGACCATTGGTCAAGAACCAATCACGTGCAACAAACTTTCTTTTACCATCTTTTAGCAGCATCTTTTAATTCCTCCCCCCTTTATTATACAATTAATTTACTTGTTTACATTCCCTTTCTCTTGACTCCCCCCCTACCACCTCCTAACAATAAGAGTCAGTTCCCTTTCGAGAACCTTGATCTAAATTTCAGTTCCAATCAGCGATCGACCTTGATTCAAAAGATGGGAAAGGCCGATGTTTATAACGGTAAAAGGTGTGGGCATGGCAGGGGTAGGGCAGTGGAGTAATGCAATAATTCGACGCACAACTTCGAACGTTTTCCCTCTAGCAGAAGAATATGCAAAATCTTCTCAATTGCGAAAACTGTCTAGTAATACAAGTTACATTTTGTTGTAAAACGAAGGATGGAAAAAGTTATCTTACAGTAGGCGGAAGAGAATAATTTCCAACGTAATCAAGAGCTAAAAAAATTCATTCTTAGCACTAGAAAGACTGAAATAACTAAAATGCACAAAAGCAGTCAAAATAGCTGCGTTGTGAAAGAATAACTAATGTATAAAGAAATTTGTTTAAAATTAATTTTTAATATTTTTGATATTATTTTCAGTTATATAACAAGTTATTAGTAAATATTAGCAATAAAAAAATTACATGCTGTACAAAAAGTCACAAAATTCTAAGAAATTGTGTCACCATTGTTTTTCTAATTGAAATTAGAAAGCAGTCAAAATGACTTCCTTGGGAAATCTAGTGTTAAAGAAATGTTTCTCAAATATACATAAAATCATTTGACTACAAAAAACTCAGATATCATTTTTTAATTTTATTTTCTCAAGAATATATAACTTAATAAACATTTTTTTTTCACTTAGAAAATAGAGTTAGACTTAAATTGTAGTAGCTATAATTTGCTTATAATCATTCTACATATAACCCGGAAATTATTATAATTCTATTAAGTTTCTTTTTTTTTTTAAATAAATTTTCATTTAGGGCCGATCATGAATAAATCTCTTTTTAATATTTTTGACTCCGTCCTTTGCTTACAAAGTAACACATTTCCCCCAATTGTCACATTTTTTTACATTTCACTCGATGTTACGTAAGCATATGCAAACATTTCAGAAACAAAACAAGCGTTTTAAATTATATTTCAGATTTTATTTTCAAAATTTAACGATGCGCTTTAATGATATTTGTGAGAATAACAACAATAATGGTTAAGTGTGTATCCATTTTGATGAATAATATGAAAAATATGTAAACTAATTGCATAAAAATATTTCATTTGCTGATTTTAAATATTTTTATTTCAAATAAAAATATTTGATGACAAAATGTTTGGGACCCTTCACCTTTGTCACAAACTGTCCCTTCCCTCCCCTGTATGCTTGATATTATTTATAAACACTTCTTATATGTCCAATTTCAGAATAATAAAAAGTAGGTGCGATGGTCCTTTGTCCGTTATTACTGAAGCAGATTTTTACTACAGACTGCATTCAAACTACCGATTAGAAATTTCATATTTATAAAATATGCAAAATAAGTTTATTTTATATTCAATGCAATAATTCTGAATATGAAATTATTTTCATTATAATAGTTTTATGAAATCAGTTTAAAACTTTCTGAAATGGTTATCAATAGTTTATTCTAAGGAGAATTCTTTAATGAACCTTTTTTCGTGGTTCTGCATTATGTTTTGCGATAATTTAAACTGCAGACGATTCTATTTTCTTTTCAAACATTTAAAGATTAACATCAGTAACGTTAGGCAACGTACTGCTCTGTTTAATCAAATATGAGTTTCTCTTAAAGTTTTTTTGGGCGATCTCTGAGTGATTTTCCTCAGCTAGCATAATTAAAAGAAGGGTTAGGTGGCACAACTGAGTCAGTAGTTGGAAAACTGTCAAAAACTACGTATTTATTTTGTTTATAGTTAGTTTTTAAAGCGTGTTTTTTTTTAAAAATCTAAAATGGGTATGAAATGAATATGAAAAAATAAATGAATTCATGTACAAAAGCACAAATTACTCCTTAAAATTTTTTTGGTTGCGGTAAATCTCTAATATTATACCACTACTATTATTAAACATGAATTTACTAGTATATAAGACATGCTAACTCAATTCAATCTTGAGGTACCTTTTGATAGATGAAGGTTGGCAAAGTCGATAACTCAGCTCCCCACGTTGGTGACCTGCGGTCGTGATATGATCACGCCTACTAAGACGGATGATTCACATTGAACAGATAATTAGCTATATGTGACTGCGTCATCGTGTTTCTCGCGCTGTTGCTTCTCAGTCTCATTTGCAAATAACGGGGATCCTGCACATACTCGACTGTTAATAGCAACACAGGATAGTCCACACACACAACCATGAACTTGATATAGCTCTCTCGACAAACGCTCAAAATCCGGTGAACTTAATACTGCTAGCCCGGTCTCTCGCAAATATTGCAGCGAGAGAACCGCTCATCGAATTTTATCCCGGATAAAATTCTGGTGGGGAAGTATTGTGTTGTAACTACCACTATGATTATTAAACATCAATTAACTTGTATCTAAGACGTGCTAAATCGATTCAAATTTGAGGTACCTTTTGATAAAAGAAAGCTGGCATAGTCGAAATCTCTTTCCAAACAATATTTTTTGTTGCTTACGAGCAATAGCATTATTTTTGTTGCCTAATAATTTTGAGCATAATTATTATTATTATTATTATTAATGTATTGGACTTCTTTTCCTCATCTTATAACATAAAACTCACGGGAAAAGCAGCAAATTATAATAAAAAATTATTTTACTTTATTTAACTATATTTATTTTACTAATTGTTTCGGTTTATGAAGCTTTCAGTTTTATGCATGATAGTGTAGAGTTAATTAGCACAGATTTATGCATTATTTGTGTTTTATTACAACGTACTAAGAATTTGTTGTTAAATCATGCAATAATAACTTCGTAATTATAAAATTATTTTAAATTTATTCATTTCTATTTTAAATACTGATTATCCCGAACAAAGAATTTGTTGTTAAGTCATGCAATAATAACTTCATAAATATAGAATTATATTTGATGCACTCATTTCTATTTAAAATACTGCATGCAAAAATAAACTTAAAGATTCCGAATTCGTTCAGAATCACTTTTAACTCTTCGTTTTCTGGAATGTTTTACTTCCAAATTTTCCGTGACTTATCTTCGTTTTAAATTTAAGAAACTACCCCGCATCAAAAGTATAAAATCTTTTGAATGATAAAAGTATTTTATAGATATGAATTTTTTTCCCTTATGGAGTTAAGTTTTTTTGCTCAAAGTTACTTCAAAGTTATGAAGTTATTTCTTCATTGTGTCGTATATTTTTCAATTTATGGTTTGAAAGAAAAAGTAAAATAATGAAGATATTATGAAGGTAACCTTGCATTATTGAGATTTAAGATAAATATCTTCATTAAATAAAGAAAAATTGAAAAATTAATTATCATACAATATTAAACCGTTGCCATCTACCTCTATTAAGGGTAGCTTTCTTTCTTGATAGATGTCATTCTAATACTTTACAATATCACTTTTAAATTCGAATGATGAAACGTAAACAACTTCTATCTTTTATATGACATCAAGACTTACATGACGTATTTGAAATGTTAATAAAAAAATTTCAAATTGGCTGCAGTAAATGATATGTTCTGGTTCGAATAGTTTAATATTTTGATTTTTAATTTGAAAAATTCTTGACTGGGTATGTTTTTAAAGTAATGAGTTCTTGAAGTTCTAGAATTCTTCTGTGATGTGGCTAAAAGTGGAATATAACTAACATTTCCCAACACTAAGCATTTTATGCTGTTGAAAAATATCTTTATTAAAAGTCCCATTTCTGACAGAAAAAGATTCCCCTTCTTAAATAAGTTTATAGAATTAATCTAGCAAAACTTTTTGCTAAACTGAATGACATTAAATTGAATGAAACATAATTCATAAAATAAATAAGAAGACAGGTGGGTCATCTTTGATAAAATTCCGGCTTGAGGATTACATGAAAAAAAGCTTTTAAAGTTCGTTTAAAAAAAAATTAAAAAAGAAAACACGTATCTTCAGAGACTTGAAGTTCTAGTTCATAAATCCGACATTTCATAATTATGTTATTTCACGCAACATTAGATTTTTCGAATCTCGTGAAATATAACCACGTGTTTTTAAATCATTCTTTTCTGTGATTGGAAGATTTAGGGTGTGGCTATAAAAAGTGTATCAACAATGGCTACTTACAATGAGAACTATCAAAATCAAGGAATTCTTGCTTCATTTGATGACTTATCGCCGTTTTTTTAGCTTTTCATCTTCAAGTGTTTTGGGGGGAAAGTTTGAAAATGGTAAAAAAAATTCTTGCCACTTGTACTCATTTCGTCACTTTTCAAGAAAATATTTCTCACATCGTCTGATTAAGTCAACACTAAAAAGTAGGTGAAACACCTGAAGATAACGTGGGTGAAGAAATTGTAAAGAAAAAAAATTACTTTAATGATGATTTGGTATTTTGACAGTCTGAACTTTCTCATCTGCTAATATTTTCACTACTGCTAGCCAATAGCTAGTTGTAGCATTTTTTATAGAGGCTACTTTTTAAAACCTGCAGCTACTTTTTCAAAAATTTTAAACGACTAAAGGAATTGTTTATATTATACTTTGAAGCATTTCTCAGAATACGGTAAACTTTACAAGGCTCATTTTAAAAATGTTCAGAAATTTTAAGAGAAAATCTTAGGACAAAGTAATTTTCAAAATAACATGAAATATTCATTATAATTTCATATCTATTAAAAAAATAATAACTAGACATAGCTCGCAGTTTAGATCGCGAGGAAGTACTTTTATTTTAATATTAACTGTTTTCAAGAGATGTCCCCAATTTTGTCGAAGTTCTGTATGTTATTACTTAATTTTGTTCTAGGTAATAATTTAAAAACTGTGTGAAAATAAATATTAATCACATGTATGAGTTCAGCATATTAGGGAGTAGAGATATTAAAATT